TGTGGTGCTTTCTTATTTTCAAGTGCTAATTTTTAACAATCCAGGATCCATCTCAGGCTAACCAGTCTGTAATTCGGGAATCTGTCTGGCTTCTAGTCCTCTCCCATTCATCATGATTCTACACAGATTACAGAAAGCAATTAAGCAGCCTTATCTGCAAAGCCTCTCAGGATCCCAGGATGTGATTTGTGAAATCGAGTGACTTGAACTTGGTGAGAATAGTTGCTTTTCTTTTTGCTCAACCATCTCGGATTTAAGTTTCTTCTTAGTAATTGGTTTTTGTTTGTTTGTTTTTTGAGACAGAGTCTTGCTCTGTCACCCAGGCTAGCATCATAGCTCACTGCAACCTCAAACTCCTGGGCTCAAGTGATCCTTCTGCATCAGCCTCCTGAGTAGCTGGTACTACAGGAGCACACCACCACGCCTGGCTAATTTTTTTCTATTTTTTTAGTAGAGACTGGGTCTTGCTCTTACTCAGGCTGGTCTCTCAAACTCCTGAGCTCAAACGATCATCCTGCCCTCGGCCTCCCAGAGTACTAGGATTACAGGTGTGAGCCACCGCGCCTGGCCTGTTTCTTCTTAGTAACTGTATTTGATCTTCAGGTTGGAAAAAAATAAGAGATTTCTTAAGCAAGAAGGGAAATAAAATAGGAGTAAGGCTGTTTCTCTTTGTCATTTGTTAATATTATATTAACCACCCCGGGGCAGGGGGCTTCACTTTTCCCTCCTTTTACTTTAACCTCTAAAATGCTGTTTATTCCTTATCTGGTACTTGGTAAAGTTAGAGTTCATCATGAGGATTTAGCCTTATTCACTATATTCTTATAGCTCCGTTTCACTCTTTATAATACTTGTTTTATATGCCCATTTTTTTTTTTTACCATCTGTTGTAAGTGGTTTCTTAACATCTGAATTCCAGAAAGCTCTCTATGCAGCACATCAGATTTTTTAGATACTTTCCCCTCTTCTTCCCCTCATCAGTATATTTTGTAATTATGCAGTCAGCATTATGCTTTTGAGAGCTTCCAAGCCTTCTTGAGCTTCCTCACACAATTTCTGATCTTGGAATTGATCCTAATTTTCCTTTGAAAAACTTGAAATCTGCCTATCCAATATGTGCAGCATTCTCGTTCCTTTGTTTCTTGATCTCCAAACATGGCTGCTTTCTCTAAAGCTTTCTCCTACTTTCATATTACCAATCATGTTTTACTAGTGAGGATTAGGTCCAAAGTAACAATTTCTCTCATTTCTCCTCTACTTTCTGAAAGCATAAATTTTTACACAGACCAAAAGCATGTCATCAGATGCATTTATTTAAGCCGAGTGACAGACACTTTCACAGCTGTCCCCTGGTCAGTAATAATTAGCTAATAAAAGCTAATATTTTTTGCACACTGCTAGATGACAAGCACTATACTAAATCTCTTCGATGGAGCTGATCTCACTTGTCTCCTATCACAGAGTTAGGAGGCACGGGTACTATTGTTATCCCAATAATACAGTTGAGGAAACAGGCTTAAGGATATTTGAGTTACGTGTCCATGATTGCACAGCTTGTGAGTGCCAAAGTCAGATTTCCTAAATTGGATTCTTAATCACCAGACATGATGCTTAATTACTATGCTGGACAAGATTCTATTACTTGAAAACCTGTGTAGCTCTCAGACCACTGGCTGTGCACAGTAGGCACTTAAATATTTAATTTGAAGTTTATGATTCTTGTTGATTTCCAGGGTGTTGCCTTTTAGCTCCTATAAGTCAATAAGAAAAAGATAAGAAAAATGAAGAAGAAATGAATGGAAAATGAAAATGGGAAAAGATGCTTGTTCTTTTTTTTTAATCAAAATTTTAAAATTTTTTACAAAGAGGGTCTCTCTCTTGCTCAGGCTAGTCTCAAACTCCTGAGCTCAAGCTATCCTCCTGCCTTAGCCTCCCAGAGGGCTAGGATTACAGGTGTGAGCCACTATGCCTGGCTTAGATGCTCATTTTTAATGAAATATATTTTTGATGGCTTTAGGAGACCTATTTTTTGAATGGCAAGAACTCTGCTTCTGTTTATAAATATGATACATGAAAAACAATGTAAAAATGTGAAATTACAGAGAGAATTACTATTAACACAAGCAAGCATACACACAAGTTTTTTAAATTAAGATAATACTAGAGTACTGTTGCATTTTAGAAACTGAATATATTGTGAACATCATTCCATGTTAACACTCAATGATGTTATCCTTAGTGGCCATATGTATCCCATTGTTTCTCATAAGAGATTGAAACTCAGTTTGTTTCCTTGATTCTTCACCTTTAACTTTTGATGTGTGAAGTGAAAGTAATGAAGGTTAAGACCTCAAGTCCTTTTCATATTTTCCTTTATTATATTATTATTTTTTATTGAAATTACTTGTTTACTATTAAATATTAGTCATTATTTGCTGTGATTTCTTCCACAATTGTTACTTTGCTAGGAAGCATTGAACTGGATGTTCAATCATTGTGATCCATATGATTGATTCTGTTTATTAAGAACAATTATAGGCTGGGTGTGGTGACGCACACTTGTAATCCTAGCACTTTGGGAGACCAAGGCAGGAGGATCACTTGAGGCCAGGAGTTTAAGACCAGCCTGGGCAACATAACAAGACCCTGTCTCTATAAAAAAAAAACAAAACAAACAAACAAACAAAAAAAACTAGCCAGGCTGGGCACGGTGGCTCACGCCTGTAATCCTAGCACTCTGGGAGGCCGAGGCGGGCAGATTGCTCGAGGTCAGGAGTTCGAAACCAGCCTGAGCAAGAGCGAGACCCTGTCTCTACTATAAATAGAAAGAAATTAATTAGCCAACTAATATATATAGAAAAAATTAGCTGGGCATGGTGGCGCATGCATGTAATCCCAGCTACTCAGGAGGCTGAGGCAGTAGGATTGCTTGAGCCCAGGAGTTTGAGGTTGCTGTGAACTAGGCTGATGCCATGGCACTAACTCTAGCCTGGGCAACAAAGTGAGACTCTGTCTCAAAAAAAAAAAACTAGCCAGGCGTGGCAGTGCATGCCGTTAGAGGCTGAGGCAGAAGGATTGCTTGAGCCCAGGAGTTTGAGGATGACGCCACTGCACTCTACGCAGGGCAACAGAGCAAGACCCTGTCTCCTAAAAAAATAAATAAATAAATACTGTCTTTCATTTGAGAGAGGGGTCATTAGGATCATTCATTGTACATGTTAAATGTTTTAATAAATGAGTATGTCATTTAAAGATTTCTCTAAAGAATAATGGAAGCTGTGTTATAACAAATTGGAAATTGCATGAACTTTCTAGTAAAATTGTCCCTTTCAAGGTTCAGATCCTAGTTCTACCATTTTTAGTTACTGTAAACAATTTGGGCAAGTCACTTAACATTCTGAGCTTCAGTTTTATTTATCAGGGAAACAGGGATGGTTATTGTGTTCTCACAGGAGGAATAATTTAGCATGAGATGAACATATACAACACCCAGTGCAGTAACAATGTTAGTTTTCTCTTATGTAGTTAGTCGAGGGGTTCTCAACCTTTTTTGTGCCATTTACCCCTTTGCTAGTTGGGTGAAGCCCATGGAAGGATTCCATCTCAAAATAATGATTTTTAAATCATAAAATAAAATGCCTGAGATTACAAAGGAAACCAGTTATATTAAATATATTTATCCAAATACATACGGAAAACAAATTCTGTGATGCTGTTTCAGATACTTTTTTGGACTAAGGTGAGGAATGAATGAATGGATCAAAGAAAGAAATATGAAAGAGGGAAGGAAAAAGAGGAGAAGGAAGGAGAGAAAGCTCATAAATACATATGCCTGGTTTTGACTCCCTCCCAAGCTGTCATCACATATTTCCAACAGGCTCCTAGACATTTCCTCCTCAGCATCCTGCCAGCAACTCATCCCTTATTGATATCACCACTCTCTCTATCAAGTCTAAATCCTCAAGTCACATTTGAGTCCTCATTTTTTCACCCTCTCCTTACTTTGTATCAGTCATGGATGGCTGTAGATTTTATCTCTACAATATCTAATTTCTACTAAACAAATTTAAGACCCTCTTATCTCATTCTTGCCCTGTTATGATACAGGATTCTTCTGCTTGGTTTCCAACTTCCTACCTCTTTTACAAAGTATGCCTTGAGTGTTTTGAGCCAGTTTGATATGTTCTGTATCTAAAGTTCTGAAGCACTTACAGATGTGCTCTTCAGCTTCATACCTAATTGTTAGCTGACTGACTGACTTATTGCTAGGTTTGTATTTGTTTTCATTTTCTCAAATATGTTCTAAGTTCTTTAAGGCAATGGACCACATCTTAAACTTATTTTTATATCTCCTTAGAGTGCTTAGCACAATACTTAAAGTACCTTATAAGATCTTGGTAATCATCATAATTAGGTAGTTATAGCTCCAAAAGCAAAAAGGAAAGAGTTTGACCTATTCTTGCCTACTGAATTATTACTGTAGGAGTTGATGATGTCAGATCAAGTCTTTATGTCAAAAACCTACTAGAAATATTCCATGTATTTAAATTTTCACTACCTCACTAAATTAACTCAAATTATTCAGTCATGGTTGTTTTACTATGCTACTGGTGATCAAGAAAAACTATGGGCATGGTTTCCTCTACTGTGAAGCCCTGTGTTTTTTCTCATAGCCCCCACCTGTAGCCCAGGGCCTGACATACAACAGGTATCTAATATATTTTGTTAGATGAATTTCCTTCTGCCTGTAAATTAACTTGTGCCTCAAAAATTGTTTACTTTTAAAAGCTTGGGAATTTACATAGATTATTACAAATTGTAAAAACAAATACGATTTTTCAAAGTTTATAGAAAACAAAAGAAAGCAGGTGATCTTACCAGGAAAAGCAGTCTTAGTAAAGTGGGCTTAAAATGATTGTATTAGTAGGCTTTGATATTTTGTCTGCCATTGATGCTTTTTCTTTTGGTTAAATTTTTTTTTTTTTTACTTCTATTCGTAGGTTAAGACATCAGAATTTTACAGATACTCTCGACAGCTGCGTTATGAAGTTGACCAAGCACTGCATTACTTTCAAAATATTCACCAACAGCCTCTGTTGGATATGAAATCAAGCCGCATCCGTTCTGCCAAACCCCAAACTACAGTATTCCGAGGAATGATTGGACATAGCATGGTTAACAGTAAAATACTTCTCTTAAAGAAACCAAGAATCTGGTGGGAGCTGGAGGGACCACAAGTTCCTCTACGGCCCGACTGTCTGGCTATAGTCAATAACTTTGTGTTCCTGTTAGGCGGAGAAGAATTAGGCCCAGATGGTGAATTCCATGCTTCTTCCAAAGTGTTCAGGTATGACCCAAGACATAACTCGTGGCTGCGGATGGCAGACATGTCCGTGCCACGTTCAGAATTTGCAGTCGGTGTTATTGGGAAGTTTATTTACGCTGTAGCAGGCAGAACCAGAGATGAGACTTTCTATTCAACTGAGAGATATGACATCACCAATGATAGATGGGAATTCGTGGATCCTTATCCAGTTAACAAATATGGACATGAAGGGACAGTGCTCAATAACAAGTTGTTTATCACTGGTGGAATCACCTCATCTTCCACCTCCAAACAAGTGTGCGTTTTTGACCCCAGTAAAGAAGGGACCATCGAGCAACGGACCAGGAGAACACAAGTAGTCACCAACTGTTGGGAGAATAAGAGCAAGATGAATTATGCAAGATGCTTTCACAAGATGATTTCTTACAACGGCAAGCTTTACGTCTTTGGTGGTGTCTGTGTGATCTTGAGGGCCTCTTTTGAATCTCAGGGATGCCCTTCCACAGAAGTGTACAACCCAGAGACTGATCAGTGGACTATCTTGGCATCCATGCCGATTGGTAGAAGTGGCCATGGTGTGACCGTGCTGGACAGACAAATAATGGTTCTTGGAGGCCTTTGTTATAACGGTCATTACAGCGATTCCATTCTCACTTTTGATCCGGATGAAAACAAATGGAAGGAAGATGAGTACCCTCGGATGCCCTGCAAGCTGGATGGTTTACAAGTATGCAACCTGCATTTTCCGGACTATGTACTAGATGAGGTCAGACGTTGCAACTAATGACATCATCTTTCTCCCGTAAAAAAAAAAAAGGCAAACAAAGTGTTTGTTTGTGGTAAAGTAGTTAATTAAAAAACATAAAGAAAAACCTCATCAGTTTTACTATCAAAGCCATTGGTCAAATATCGTAAAAATTTGTCATTCTGTGCTAGCATCCTTTTTTTTTTCTTTTCAGTGGCCTCAAATTCATGCAATAAGTTTAATTCTAACTGCTAGCAGCTACTTCCAGAAGCAATTTAATAGAATGCTTCACTTATCTGGGAAATTGATTTTCTGCTTTAAACATTTCTTCCTAATGTTAGTGTAGGAGTCATGCATCTTCTAAGAGAAGACCCGATAAGTGTCACTGGATGTGATTTCTGTCCCTATCTCTATCTGAAACCTTTTTGAGCATTTATTTTAGTGTATTTCAGTCTGTTATACTTTTTGGTTTTATTATTTAAAAGTTTAAAACTCTTGACCTTTTTGCATGGCTTTTTGCTGAAAATGCAAAAATATAAATTTTCTACAAAATTAACTTTTTATATTCAAAACACTATTTCTAAGCTGCCTTCTCTTATCCGCATTGTGTTAGTGAAAGCATATCCATACATGCATACATCCTATAAATATATAAGGCACATCCCTTTTATGCGTGGTTAGGATTCTATATTTTTAAGCTAGTGCACTTGCACACACGGTTCGCCATACTTGTTGAATTTTAGATGTAGTGTCTTTTCGTGTATTAACATTTTTAGAAAGTTAAAATAACTGGAGTCCTCATTTGTTATCAGAGTAGCCTATCTTCAGCCCATACCGATTCAGTAATATTTAAACTCCTTATATTCCTGAAACATGTATGGGCTTGTGAAAACTAACATTTTATATTTTATTTTCAAAAGTAAACATGAGTGTTTCTTGTCGATGTATGTCTTTTCTTTTTGAAAATGTCTTTCTTTGCAGTCTGTTTAACGTTGCCCTGTTTTTAGTGAGAATCGGAGTGGTATGTGACAAGCTCTGACCCTGCAGCGTGCAAGCACTTTTAAAGAGAATTTTAGGTAATACCAGACTCCTAAATAAAGGCCCCTTAAAAGTAAGTGCAACTCCCATTCTTTACATTCAATAAGGCTGCTGCATCTGTTATTGAATGGAAGGTAGCAACTCTTAGAAAATTTGAGCTCAGTTTTGACTTAGAGGTAAGAAATAGAATTATAATGTTACTGGTCATATCTGCTCGTTTATTTCATATAAAATACCCAGCGGCACTAGGGATGTAAGCCCTCAGCTTTTGTTTTATTTACTGAAAGCTACTAGCATGAAGGATAGTAACCACAAAGTTTGAAATGGATCAAGAATAGCTGTTTAAAAGCTTTTATAATAAGTGTTTTAGGATTAGCTGCACCTTTCAACTCTTAAAACGCAAAGGAAAAAAACATACAGTTGACAGAGTTAAGCAAGAATAACCTGGGAGTGGATCATTCAAATTGATGCCATTTTCTCATGAGTAGTCTATATCTGATACAGACTAGATCTACACTGGCAAAACTTGCCAGATCTTAGGATATTGGTGCAATATTGCAATGCCTTCTATATGGCTGCTGTTGTATAAATTTTCTAGTTTCACTTTTTTTTTTGCTGCTGCCACCATTGAACATAAAATGGAAGCGTGAAGTCATGGAAATGTGAAGACTTTGTTTATTTGGGTTTTTTTTTTTTTTTTTGGTATTGTCATCTAATCTTATTTGGGTTTTTATGCAGTTCAATTAGACATAATATGAAATAAAACCTGATCTCAAAACTGGAGGCATTTGAGTTTAAGAAACAGGTACACAAATAGCTTTTGAGAAAGAAAAACATTGGCATTGGTTTCAGAAATCAAGTTAATAATAATAATCTTTTGTATACGAGACTTAAATTTTCATTAAATGACCCTATCATTTAGTTTCTAAACATGACATTTGATATCTTATTTCCCATGATAATATGAGTAAAAGTCATTTTATACATTTAAAAAAATAAGTTTTAATTTTACTTTTGAAAACTAGGAATTAAGTTAGCCATTTAATTTTTTTTCTAATGCATTAGTTCGTTTAGGGTTTCGTATGTGTGCTGTCTTGCTTTAAACAAATAACGTCTTCATTATTTTCCTTGTTGATGGCTTTTGCTGGAAAAGACCGGGAAAAAGCTATCAGACAGGGTACCCATATCAAAGGCTTTACACTCCAGTGGTGGTTCTCTTTAATTGCTTAGATATGACTTCCTTCATAGCCCTAGTTAGGGTAACATGTGGGCAAACATTTGAATATTCTTGGTCTTCCATTTTAAAGACACAAGGCCAAGGTCAAAGTTCATGTTTTGTAAAATTCGTGAAATCTTTAACTTGAACTAACTCGGCTCAGCTTCACGTAAGTCATGTCTGACCTGATGTTAGCTATAATCAGTTTTGAGCTTTAAGAATAGTTGCTATTGCTTGAGTTCTGAATGTATGAGAAAACTTCTGTTTATATGTAATTCTAATTTAGGTTATTTTAAATCCATGATTAACTTACATTCCCTTTTAAAATTATGATTTAATTGCTGCAAGAGATTTATTTTTGTTATACTAAACTATGGAAAATTTTTTCATAGAATTTTTTTCAAGTTTATTTTTTGTGTGCTTCATTGGGAACTGTTTTTGTTTATATACATTGTATGCGCTCAAAATAGTAGTTTTTTAAAAATCCAGTAAGAGATTTGAAATTATACAGTGTAACTGTTATGAGATATCTTTATGTGTCTTATTTTCACTTTACATTTTAAATGCCAGGCTTCATAAAAATGGCTGAACATCATTAATTGCATCTTAATTAGGACCATTTGTTCTCTTCCTTGTCTTTGACCTTCTAAATTTTTTATTTTAAAGAAAATCCTTGCACTACAACCTTTTCATGAAATGCAAGCTTCTCACATTGAAGGTTTTGTATTGGAAGAAATGCTACTGGTTTTTAAAAAGCAAAGCTTAATTAATAGATTTATTAGCTTTTCTTGAGACAGCTTTTCTCTGTGTCCTCATTATTCTGCTTTATGTGTTACTATAATTTGTGAAATACTGACTGAGCCCTTCACTTACCTTTTCTAAAGCAGCACCTTTGGACACCTCATTCTGGGAAGCCTGCTCAAGTCATAGTAAAGGACACACATGTTTTTGTGGGGAGAAGTGGTAAAAATGGATTTTTGTCTTAATTACATGAAACTAAGCTTTAAAATATTTTATAACAAATTATTTGAGCTGCATAATCTAAACATGTCAAACGTTCAGTGGGACTATTTTTCTATATGTATATGTGGGTGTAGGTCATAACATTTCAGTTTATAATATAAATTGTTATTTCAGTTTATAAGCTATATCTCAGAGGAGACTAGCTCTTTTGAGAATACATAATTTAAAGTTTTAGACTGAAGTAAAACACAACATACGTAATAGTGTAAATTAGCTATAATTGAGGGCTATATGGCAGTAAAACTGCTAGTGCCAGTTTTCTTGTTTGCCTATTACACATTTTTGATTTTTGTTTTGTATTCTGAACATTTTTAGAGATCATATGTTTGTTCAATCGCATTTAGAGTCGGTTTGGGAATGAATATCTTCTAAAAAGAGATTTATCTTAAAAGTCCTGAAAAATTAGTTTATCAAGAGTTTATAAAATCAAATATTCAATAGGCATAGACTGGAATAGATGAATTCATGGAAACCATACCCTTTTAGTATACCCGTATAACTTCAATATTATACACAAGCAACACTGAGAGAATGCCATCAGCTTTGTTCCCTATCAGTTTTCTTGGATTTTCTTTTTACATCTCTGGGAACAACTACATTAAACATTTTATTAATCAGTATACCTGTCACGATTAGGTGTTTGCTTTCGGAAGGAATGTTCCAGTGAGGTGATTGGAGAGGTTATTTTCTACCTAACTTGTATATGTCCCAAACCTCTTGGGCATACTTTGTCTATGGAAAAATATTTTGACCTTTAGGTACATTTTGGGCTGGTAGTCAAATAATCGTAGGGCTGATGTAAAAGTCTTAGAATAATTTAAGGTTTGCCTTTTATACCTGTTTTGAAAGCCTTTACATTTTTGTCAGGTAATTTTTCCCAAGCCGTGGATATAATCTATTCAAACATGTTTATGCTGTCCATTCTGTTTTTAAATTGAAAAAAATGTTAAAAGTGTTTATGAAGAAAAGTTTAAATAAAATATTTTTAATCTTTAAAATTTACTTTATCTCTGATTATTTACTATTTTTATATAATCCATCACTTTGAAAGTCACTAATGACTTTTTTAGCAGTATACATTTTGTTTTCTTTCAATATGCCAAGGAAGTCCCATGAAAATGATTTCTACCAATGCTTTTAGCCACAGATTCAAATGAAAGCATTAGAGTGAAATTATTTATACTCTTATGTGCTATGGAAATTCTATAATGAAGCCAAGTAATTAAAGTTCCACTAACACAGAGTTGTGCAGAATGAAAATATAGAACTGAGGAAAAGCATTTACAAGCCTCAAGCCTTAGTTTGGTGTGATTTTTAGATTCCCGTTAGAATTTTTTTTTTTTTTTTTTTTTTTAGGGGAGGCAGAGCATGGGGCTCAGAGCAAATAGAAGCTGCTCTGGAGCACACCCATGGTGCCAGCTGTACTCCCCGTTAGCATTTTTGATTCACTGGTCTTAAAGGCGTTTCTGAAATTCAGATATAGGCCAAGGCCTTGGGTATACATAGGCATGTGTACCTTCTTTCAAATGGACTCCTAAGAAACCTCAGCAGGATTGCCAGGCCCCTAGATTCTGGCCTTAAGCTACCTTTCCAGCCTTTTTCTCCCCATCACTTCCTATACTCCATTCTGTTGTGGTCTTTATGTGTTCCTTTCTAGCCTAAAATTACTTGCCTGTCTTTCCCCTGTCCTCCTTATCAAAATCCACTTTGCAAAGCCCAACTCAAATGTTCCCCTCTTCTCATCTCTTCCATTGAATCTTCTACACCTAATACATTGATGCCTCTTATTTCATTTTGCATAATAGTTGGGCATAGTTCTTTCTCCACAACTAGATCATTGTTTCCTTGGGTGAAAGGATCTTCTTTCATTCTTCTTTGTACCCTCATACCTAGTGTGATAGTCTGCACAGTAGGCACTGAGCTAAATGTTTCTTGCAGCATATGACAAAGTCCATATAAGTTAAAGACGAATGCTGTAGGTATTCAGATGAGGGAGATACTAAAGTTCCCCAGGGTTTTTGTCTCTGTTTTCTTCTCAGTCTACACATTCTCTGCACAATCTCATCCACACCTACAGCTTCATCTATAACTTTTATTCTGATATCTGTCAAATCTGTATTTCCCATCCCAGAGTTCCAACCATCTCCTGAACATCTCTCACATGTTGTATTGAAATTTCCAACTGAACAAGTACAAACTTGAATACATTATTTCCTTCCAAAAAACCTGCCCTTGTCCTATATTCCCTGCATCATTATGTGGCTCTACCATTGCCTGTGATTGTTCAAGTCAGAAACGTGGGAATGCCTCTCCCTCTTAACCCCAGCCTCTTAGTTCACCCAGTTCTAGTACTTTAAACTCTCAATTGCACTCTCCTCTCCATCCATACTGTCCTAATTCAGGCCCTCATTATTCTTGCTAACCTCCTTTTGGAGATTTTTCTCTTTTTTGAGACAGTGTCTCGCTCTGTTGCCCGGGCTAGAGTACAGTGGCATCATCATAGCTCACTGCAATTCCAGAGCTTAGACTAAAGGAATCTCCTGCCTCACCTCCCAAGTAACTGGGACTATAGGTGCGCACCACCACACCAGGGTGACTTTTAATTTGTTTTGTAGAGATGAGGTCTTGCTATGTTGTTCAGGTTGGTCTGGAACTCCTGGCCTCAAGTGATCCTCCCACCTTAGCCTTCCAAAGTGCTAGGATTATAGGTGTGAGCCACTGCACCTAGCCTGGAGCTTGCTTTCTGATCTCTACTTCCAGTAATCCATTTTCTACACTGCTGCCAGAGGGAGCTTTCAAAAAGTAAACCTGATCTGAGATTCAACAGTGTTTTAATTGAGCTACGTAAGCTAATTGGAGTTCCTGAATAGACCATGTTTTCTCAAGCCTCTCTGTCTTTGTACAGGCACTTCCCCTCTTCCTTTCTTGGCTGACCCTTTCTTGGCCTTCAAGAACCAGCCTGGGCATCATGGCTTCTGTCAAGTTTTCTTTAATCCTTCCAGCCAGGTTAACGCTATCTCCTTGGTCTTATCATAGCGCCTGTGAATACCTAGACATCACCTCCTCTGACACTTGATTAGAACTATCTTCTCCATCTCACCCTTAACTGTATTCCTTGAGGGGAAATATGTGTTTTTATTTTCCAAGAGTCTGATTTAATGTCTGGCACGTGGTAAGTCCTCCTTAACCACTTTGGTACGGCGCTCACTGGCTGCGAAACCTTGCCCACAGCCGGCACTCATAGTCCGCATGATAGTTTGTGCTGTGCATTGATGACGAATCCATTTTGCTCTTGTGTGATGAGGAAAGCTTTAAAGCACTGAAAGCTTGTTTTACTTTACAGGCAGCTTTACTTGTAATGTAAATCAGAATAGGTAACGTATACATATATGGTTTGGTTTTTTTTCTTCTTTTTTCCCTGTATATAGAAACATACATATATATTTTCATTATGTTATTTTTAAATATTCACAATTTTATTTTGATAAATGAAAAATTAGAAAAGTCATATCATGGTTGTTGGCTAAAGTTGCTGTGCGCATTCATCTGTGGCTATCGACTATAGTTGACGCTGGTACCGAAGTGGTTAATAAAAATAGAACCCAAAAAGTTGGAAAGTTACCAAGGAAATGCTCCTGGTGAGGAAGGGTAGCTAGCTGTATTAGAGAGCTTGATTGTCTGCCAAAACTGACCTGTCTGAGGAATTTCCCTCCATTCATTTCCACTACTACTGCTCCTATGTCTAGAAGGTTGATGCATACGGCAAACACAGTTGTTAACCAATAACATCTCAGTATTTCTGGTCCAGGCTAAAAGATCAAGTAAAACAGACTAAAGGGTGTCTTGCAAAACATGACTCCCATGAAATGCTGTGTGGAGGGGGGATGTGTTCAGTGGTTACAGTAATCTTGGGAAACACTGCATATGATTTTTCTTACAGAATCTCAGCAAACATTAGCATATATTTTTTTTTTTTTGAGACAGGGTCTCACTTTGTTGCCCAGGCTAGAGTGAGTGCTGTGGCGTCAGCCTAGCTCACAGCAACCTCACTCTCCTGGGCTCAAGCAATCCTCCTGCCTCAGCCTCCTGAGTAGCTGGGACAACAGGCATGCACCACCATGCCCGGCTAATTTTTTCTATATATATATTAGTTGGCCAATTAATTTTCTTTCTATTTGTAGTAGAGATGGGGTCTCACTCTTGCTCAGGCTGGTTTCGAACTCCTGACCTCGAGCAATCCGCCCGCCTGGGCCTCCCAGAGTGCTAGGATTACAGGCGTGAGCCACCACGCTCAGCCAAACATTAGCATATTAAAGCCTCTGAGAAGTCCTGCTGTTAACTCATTTTGATTTTGTTTAGCTCAGCATAAACCAAACATTTAACCACTAAGTTCTTTTTTTTCATGATAAGTGGTCCATGAATGCTCTTGGAAAAGGCTGACTAAGGAGTAACTGAAAGATAAGCACAAAAGACCACTAATTCAGTTACTCTGGTCTACAAAATAGGACTTCCTACTGCAGGTCCAGTTGGTTTCTATACTGAAGTCAACATTTTGCCAAGGTTACCTTAAGGATTTCATATCACAAGGAAGGTCCCACCTTCTCCCCCTAGGAGGGTGAATTTGTATAATTAATTTGTACAACTTGTATGATTTAAGGAGAGAGGACTTCTACAATGGCCCAGGAGCTCAGCCATTACTAAAAAGTAATGATAAAACTAAACAAACTTGTCAAAAAAATTAAGACTCTAGAAGTTGACCAAGGGCATACAACAAATTGAGAAACATTTATTCAAGAAAAATCTATTGAACCTCAATAAGAACAGTGAGAGTCTGATGTTTTAGGCTGAGGTTGAGGTTGCTCCCATCCCAACTCCTCCCTCCATTCTATGTCAGAAGTTTTACCAGGGCCACGGGAGGGGGCTGACTTTATTTGGAGTAAAGTGTGGAGAAGCCCAAGAATACGGGATTTCAGTGTGGCCAACACTGCAGCTAGCCTGGCTTGTCAATACTGATTTGGGCTAGCAATAGACTGGCAGACAGAGCAGCCAGCAATTTAACAGAGAGCTTGGGAATGAGACAGCCAAAGAGGGCGTTGATACATTCTAGGGCATTGATAGTTATCCCTGGTGGTCCAGAAGGCTGTGCTTTTGCACAAGGCTGTGTGCACCCAAGAAGAGACCTAAAAGGCCTTAGCAAGCTACTTTTTCCTGGCTGGGTGTGAAGCCTTGCAAACACAGAAAATAAAAGCTGGAATAGACTTGGAAACTGCTCAAACTTTGAATGCATTCCCCAGGCCACACACATTCAGCTGCAAAGGGTGGACACCTGACTGGCTCAAGGTGTTTAAACACAACTTCTGACCAATCAATCATTGATCACTAAGCAGTGTCAATTCAGGGGTAATCCCTGGGAACCCAGACTTAAAAATGAAAACAAGAATTAAAAAAAAACAACACCAGTAGCTGTACACTGAGGTGGGGGTGGGGAGTGGGTGGGAACAGATCCACATAATTAGTCCAGGAAAATCACTAAACAACAAATCACAAAACAAGCAAAAACTACCACCCTCTGGATTGGGGGTGGGGCAATACAATCTAGAGTTGCTGTAATTTATTTTCTAAAAGAAATAGGACATGCAAAGAAATAGGAAAGTGTGACCCATACTCAGGTTTTCTAACTGCCTCTGAGGGATCAGTTATGTGATTGAGATCAGTGTAATTATAGTTTTGTATCCTGTATTTTCACATAGGATTTTACTAGAGACAATTTCATAAGCCATTACAATTTCTTTGAAAATAATAGTTTTAGTGATTAGTGTTCCAGAATATGGCCAAGCTGTAATTTGTCTAATCATGACTCTATTGTGAGAACTACCACTTTTAAAGTTCTTTTAAATTTGATTATATATATATATATAAAATCCACACTTCTGATTATTTCCTTAATGTAATTTTCTCTTTTTCCTTTTTGTAGAGACAGGGTCTAGCTATACCAGGCTGGT